TTAGATCTAGTAGTGGGTTATACTATTAAACTTGCTCTTAGTATACTCTTTAACCACTACTCCCTCCGTCCCAAAAAAAAACTCAACTTTTAGAGTTTGAATTTATACCCCCAGCACATAAAATGAGAAGTTTTATTCCTTCAATACCCTCTAACTACCTATCACCATTATTACTTTTTTTTTTAGGAATGAGGGATATTTTGGTTATTTTTACTCTCTTATATTTTTGTATTGGGATACTAGAGTTTGATTTAATACGAGGCAGAGGGAGTAGTCTTTAACCGATGGAGTGTTTCATAACAATAATACAATATGATGAGAAGTGTGATGGCAATAATGTTTCTTGATCCTACAAATTTAATACTTCGATTACCATAAAATATAATAACTTCTACGACTAGACCGACATTCTCTTCCTAACCAATCAACCATACTATTACCAGCTCTAATGGTATATGCGTTGCCCATAGCATTGAAAAACTCTACTTATCTCACGCATTTTTTATTTATTTTTGATAGTCATACATTTCTTATTGATTGATCTAACATAGAGGAATGGAGTCGATTAGAGCTCACCATTGTCTAACAGACGAGGGAGGTCAGTAGTGTTATGACATCTCACCAAAAAAGAGATAAATGAGGTGCCACGGAGACCGACATATAAGATTTTCTTTTAGATAATGGGAATTTATAAGACTCGACTTCATCCACGGAGGTGTATACAATATAAGAGAGAGAAGCACATGTGACGGTGACTTTGACAAGTTAATCGTGTGAAAGTTATTAGCAAGAAGGTGGTGAAACGATGTGCAGATGCACGAGTGGAGAGTAGGAGGGTATGTAACAAGAGTAATATTTTTGCACCAAGAGAAATAATAGTCGGATGAACTACAGCTTCGTTGACCGCTGAAAAATAAGAGCGTGATTATATTTTTCAAACAACCGGTGATTGATAGTAATAGGCAAAACCGTATAAATCGACAATGACAATACTCCAATCTTCTTATATGCAAATGTATATATATATTTCTGTCACCGTTTGGTACCGTACAAAAAATGGACGCACCTTTTGACCTGCACAATGGCCTGCGAAAGCAAATATTTCCTCCGTTTCTAAATATTTAACGTCATTAATTTTTTTAAATATATTTAACCATTTGTCTTAATAAAAAAATTAAGTAATTATTAATTTTTTTCTATTATTTGACTCATTGTTAAATATACTTTTATGTATACATATAATTTTACATACTTCATAAAAGTTTTTAAATAAGACGAACGATTAAATATGTGCTAAAAGATCAACAGAGTCAAATATTTAGTAACGGAGGGAGGGAGTATTGTTTTATTACTCTCGTGTCATCCCCGTCACTTTACTTGTCAGTAGTATCTTCTTATATGCAAATGTTGCTAATCATGCCGTCAACCAAAGGAAGCTTCCTCCGATCAGCACAAAAGCAAAACTGCAGACATAATTCAGCGTGTTTTGACCGCGAACCACGGACCGCAACCACTCCTCTCCTCGTGATTAATCACGCTGCTAATCCAAAAGCAGACAGACAATGTAATCACGGGCCCAAAATTGTGCCGACATCACGGGCCGTCACATGAGGCGGAATCCGATTCGTAATTGGGCTTCGTGTCCTGTAAAGTGTACCCCCATGCCCACAGTAACTGCAAGCTTACCACTACTAGGGGTGTTTAGATACTAATAAAAATAATCTGTAAACCGCTAGATAAATTTATTAAGTCTAATTAATCTGTTATTAGTAAAAGTTTACTATAGCTCCACGTTATCAAATCATAGAGCAATTAGCCATAAAAGATTCATCTCACAAATTAGTCGTAATCTGTACAATCAGTTATTTTTTTAGCATATATTTAATACTTTATGCAGGTGTTCAAATGTTTGATGTGACAGGGTGTAAAATTTTTGGGTGGGATCTAAATAAGCCCTACAACAAAAAGCAATGGGACAACAAAAAAAAATCTCTGCTACTGAGCACCTGGCACAGTGATTCGGACAAGAAGCAAAATAGTACTATACCTGAGTAATTCGGAATCTCCTTGTGTTTATCTCAGATTTATTTCTGGAATCAGACTTCCTTGAGAATAGTACTATCACGGTAGTATTATATCCAGTTTTGGCTGAGTCAGCAATAGGACCCATATCAACCTCACATGTCAGGAGCTAGCGCTTTCTTCCACCTCTCTGCTGACTGGAGCTGTCGAAGGAGCAAACTGGGACGTTAAGGTCTGGGGTGACTGGACGTGTGTTGAGTAGGAGCACTCGATGTCACCGTCATCGTCGTTGCAGTCATGGCGGCGGCCACCGGTGACTCGGTGAGGCTGCTCAGGCTACTGGAACTGCGGCCTAGCCCATTAAATACTACCTTGTTGGCGGGGACGCGGGGTTGAGGCGTGAGCTGCTGGCCGTGACGATGGGTGGTGGGGGAGGTGGTGGCGGTGGCACAATGGTCGCTTGTGCTTATGCCTGTGTCAACGAGAAGCAGATCTTGGGTGGAAGTTGTTGGGATGGAGATGGCAGCATAGACAAATGTCGGTGTGGTGGTGGTGTATGCGAGCGCCGGCATAGGCTTGCCGTGTTTGGTGGTGTCCGGCTTGTCGGTGGTAATGGACTCGCAGAGGAGTGGGAGGGTGAGCGATGGCTTCGGCTCTGGTGGCTTTGGCCCTTGACGGAGAAGGCGGAGGAGTGGCTTGGGCTCATATGACGTGGCCTACGATGAGGCCACCTTCGCCACACCCTTCACCGCCACCTTCACCCAAGGAGTCTTCACTTGCAACGACACCGAAACACATAGTCTTGGCATCTTCACCTTCACCTAGAGGCACTGGAAACGGGGGCACCACTATTGTTGTTGCCACCCCACCTTCTGCTATCCACCACCCCCATCGCCATCGGCGCTGATATCACTCCGGGAAGTCAGAGCGAAATGAGGCATCCGCCGATGAGCTTGCCACGAGAGGCGCCAAGGAACGGGAAGGCACCAGTAAGAATGAGAGAAGAGGAAGGGTCAAACCGTTGACGTCAAGCTTTTATTCGCCGGCCGCTACCCTTCTCTTAACCAGTCCCTCATCTTGAGGCTGCCACGCCACTACTGCTGGTCCCTCATCTTGAGGCCGCCACGTTACCACTGGTCCCTTATTTTGAGGTTGGCACGCCGCGGCATCCATCACTTCCCATGTTCGCGATGGGGAACTAAGGAGAGATAGAGAGCAATATTGGGGGATTGCAGATGGAGTTCGAAAGAGAGATGAATCAGAGATGGAGATGGAGAGAGGGAGGGGGATAGCACTAACATCTAGGGCCTACCTAGGTCCCACTTGTCACATCAGCTAAAACTGTGGACTAGATTTCTTGGATCCTTAGTTACACCGATTTTCAAGTTAAGAAACGGGTTATATCTGGTATTTCGGTTCGACAGCGTAATTCAAACTCAACGTCAAAAGAAGGACCTAATGTGAACCTATTCCTTCTCCTTTCCCCTTCGGAATAAGTTCACTTCATGACCCTCAAAAGTGATCGAAATCTAAACCATGACCCTAAACTACAAAACCGGATATCTCGACCCCAAACACCTAAAACCGGTGCAATTTGACTCCCTGAGCAGTTTTGGGAGGCGGTTTTGCTGACGTGGCGCCATGTGGCGCCTACGTGGCAATATTGACCGAGTCGTTGTTACACGTGGCGTTGACGTGGCACCTACGTGGCGGTATAAATAAAAAATATGCGTGGGACCCGTTTGTCATTCACACACATAAAAAATGTGGGGCCCACTGACATGTGGGCCCCACATGTCATCCTCCTTCCTTCTTCCTCCTCCCTCTCTCCCTTCTCTCTCTCTCCCTTGTTCACCCTCGGCCGGCGGGTGGGGCATGGGCTGTGGTGTGGTGGCGGTCGGTGGGAGCTGAAGCGCTGGCGGCAGCGGGACCTAGCTGGAGCGGGTTCTGGAGCGCCGTCGGCGTGGTGGACGGAGGTGCGCAAGGAGCTCGTCCCCTGGGTCAACGGCGACGGACCTCGGCGCGACGAAGAGGCGGTCGCCCCCTCCGACGGTGGCAGCGGTCCCCCGAGTGGAGGAGTCGACGATGGCGAGGCTAGCGCTTGGCGAGATGGGGTCAGCGTCGTGGAGGAAGTCGACCGGCGGGGGTTGCCCTTGGCGTCGTCGATGGCCGAAGATGGAGGCGGAGGTCGAAGGCGGCGGTCCACGCAGTCGAAGCCGGCGGCGCAGCCGTGCCGGGGTGGAAGAGGGAGGCGGCCACTTGGGCCCGCTGCGAGACGAGCAGGACGGCGGCGGCGGCCACAAGTTCCGGCCCTCCGAGCTGGAGCAGGGCCGAGCCACCCACCCGCCACCGCCGCCGCCGCCGCCGCTCCGGCCTTCCACTGCCCGCCGCCGCCGCTCCAGCCCACCACCGCCGCCACTTCAGCTAGCTCCCGCTGCCGCCGCCGGCCGAAGGGGAAGAAGGGGAGAGAGAGTGAAGGGAGAGAGGGAGGAGGAAGAAGGATGACATGTGGGGTCCACATGTCAGTGGGCCCCACAATTTTTTTATGTGTGAATGACAAACGGGTCCCACGCATATTTTTTTATTTCTACCGCCACGTAGGTACCACGTCAACGCCACGTGTAACAAAGACTCGGTCAATATTGCCACGTAGACGCCATGTCAGCAAAACCGCCTCCCAAAACTGCCCAAGGAGTCAAATTGCACCGGTTTTAGGAGTTTAGGGGTCGAGATATCCGGTTTTGTAGTTTAGGGTCATGGTTTAGATTTCGATCACATTTGAGGGTCATGGAGTGAACTTATTCCTTACCCTTCTCTCAAACACAGTGTAAGGCCACATAACGCATTTGGGCTGGAATTTGAACTGAAATTCCGGCCATAAGTTAAATGGGCTGTATTTGGGCCAAAAGTGGGCCTAGCCTTTCTTAGGCAGGAGTGGCCGAGTGGGTCCAAGAGCTCACGCGGCTTCTCTCCTTTGAAAAGTCAGCAATTGTCAACCGAGCGACCGAGCGAGAGAGGGGAAGTCACGAGGCGACGGAACCGGAACCCTAGCTAGCGCGCGGCGTCCATGGGGAAGGCGGAGGCGAGGTCCAGGGAGCACGGCGGGGGCGGAGGAGGAGGCAGCGGCAGCGCGGGGTAAGAGAATCCCCGCTTTGCCCTCCCGCACTTTCTCCCCCGCGAGTTTCCGATCGATCTCGCCCTCATGGGGCGTTCTGATTTCGTGCGGTTTGGTTTGCGTTTGCGTTTGCAGGAAGATCTTCGTCGGTGGACTGCCCCGTGACACCACGGAAGGTAACTTGCTTGATTTCCTTCTCTAATTGTGTGAGCTGAGATTCTGCGATTTTTTTTGTGTGTGTCCCGTGCTGGATCTGGTGGGTCTCATCACGATTCGTTTACGGCGTTGGGGGTATTACGATCCGTTGTTGTAGGTAGTTTAATGTGTGTGCGTCCACAATGGATTGCCAATCTTGACCTGATTAATTAGGTATGCTGGTGAACCACGGTGTATTTTTGTAGATGTATGGGAATTTACCGTGTCGTGAACCTGATGAAGGTGGGATACTGGGACATGCGTCGGCAATTTTTATAATGTTATCATGTGGTCGTTGGTTGTTTTGATATCATTAACTTAATGCATACAGTATTTGTTTTGAGTTTTGATCCGCTTTTGTCCATACCATTGATATCGCACTGTTCTAGGTATAATAATTTATTAGTAATATCCAACCAAAATGTTAGTTGATTCATAAGAGATAATTCCGATTATGTGATTTAATTTAAGATATGTTGCTTTTACTTAATGAGGTTCAAGGTTGCAATTGAGCAATGTAGAATAATTAATGAGGCATGATGGATTAGCTCTTGCTTGCACTAGAACGGTTATTATTTTCTCAATAACCAATCTGATTCCTGTAGTTATAATATTCATATTTGTCAATTGAGTGATTAATAGATTCTCGTGGTAGCTCTGTTTTTGTGATACTAATTTGGTTTTTGCTATTTTCAATAACAGCGGATTTTGTGAAGCATTTTGGCCAGTATGGAGAAATAGTTGATTCAGTGATAATGAGGGATAAGCACACATCTCAGCCAAGGGGCTTTGGCTTTATTACATATTCTAACCCTGCCGTTGTGGATAGAGTGATGGATGATATCCATGAATTCAATGGAAAGCAAGTAAGTTTTGCAGAGCATTGTTCATACCTGCACTGTTTGTATGTATGTACTAGTACTACATTTAGTGTTTGTACTTTCGTGTTACTGCTCTAGATAACTTGGCCCAACTATCAGTCTGTTGTGTATTCATTCAAAATCTTGATCTTTTAGTCAATTTTATTTGTCATTTCGATTACACCATTTAGCTTATTTTCTTTATAATTTGGCTGTCCTAAACGTCAATTAATTTTGTATGGGGTGAGGACAATAAAGACCTGTTATATGTCAGGACGAATTAATCTTATGCCATTAAACTTGTAGTTTTTCCTACATGGGCATTCATCATACTGTTTTTATTTTGTTGTTCATGAGGATTTCACAGTGCATAAGTTTCTTTTTTTCAATTACCTTGCTGTGAAGGTATGCTAATTGGTTACAAGGCTGTCTATTTTTATAGACATGTTGTCTCAATTAGCTCTAAGCATTTGACATAAGCTAGATTTTTGTAAACAATTAATAGTATGAGCTTCAATTTGTTTTGGTTTATCAATTTATTTGATTTCTCTGTGCACAAACAGGTTTTGCCTTAGCTATCCAGCTGTCGAAAGTTCCATTGTTGACATGCATTATTACGTGCTTGTTAGTTAGTTATTGCTTGATAATTTTCCTTGTTTGCTTTATCTTGTTCTCTGTGTGTTGTTGCTTGATGCCTTTGAATTGATTCCCTATAAGTGTTACAAGTTCCCTATTCCAGTGTTCCCACATGTTCACAGCTTAAAACTAAGCGGGTTTGCCTTTTCTTTTGTTTTTTCCAGGTTGAAATCAAGAGAACCATTCCAAAAGATTCTGTGCAATCAAAGGATTTCAAAACTAAAAAGATATTTGTTGGTGGGCTTCCTCAAGCACTGACAGAAGGTATTTGTCAATATGAAATATAATTTTTTCCTGACATTTCTTTTATCTGATGGTCCTTCTACATGTATGATGTATCAGATGATTTCAAGCATTTCTTCCAGAAATATGGCCCTGTGGTGGACCATCAGATTATGCGTGATCATCAAACCAAGCGTTCACGAGGCTTTGGATTTATAGTTTTTAGTTCTGATCAGGTTGTAGATGATTTATTAGCAAATGGAAATATGATTGATCTTGCTGGTGCAAAGGTGAGTCTTGTGCACTTCATTACACAAATGTTATCTGTATTTTTATGGTGCAATGCAACTTGTGTAACCATTGTCAACTTGTCTGCCAAAAGAAGTTGCATTTTTCTGTTGAAATTGACAGCTGTGCTGTTGTTGTAGAATGTGATGCTCAACGGGTAATTGGTAGCAAGGACGTATAGGTTTATATTGATAGAACTTCGGTCATTTGCTTTGTAGGTGGAGATCAAGAAAGCAGAACCAAAGAAATCCTCAAATCCACCACCATCATCACATGGTAGTGCCTCTAGATCAGCATATGGTAGGGATTCTAGGGGTCATTCTTCTGGCAATGACTATGGTGGACTGGCCAATGCTTATAGCAACTACAACAGTGGTGGATTTGGGCCTTATAGGAACCATGGAGTTTATGGTGGTGGTAGTCTCAGTGGTTATGGTGGGATAGGTGAATATGGTGTTCAGTATGGCCGTTACTATCCAGGATTAGGAGGATCTGGAAGCATGCCTTCTTTTGGTTATGCTAGTCGTGTTGGGCCGTATGGAGGAGGTTTTGATGGACCTTACGCTGGTGGGAACTTAAGTGGATACAGGCGTGGTGGTGATGAGAGCTTTGGTGGCCTCAGTAGTTCTAGCTTTGGTGGCGCTATGTATGGCGGCGCAGCATATGATCCTGCACTAGGTGGTTATGCATCTGGTAGCACACCTGAAAGAAGCAGGGGAAATTTGGCTGGTGGTTCAGGCCGGTACAATCCATATGGACGATAGAGATGCCCTTGAAGGATTCGACCCATGATAATATTCTCAGCAATCTTACTTCCTCATTGCCTTCTTTTAGCTTCTTATATGGTGGGCATCTTAGCAATGCTAGTACCCTTATTAGATTGAGCGTGTGCACAAGTAATTTATTCTGTACATGTTTGCTAGTTCTCCTGAGCTTAAAGCTTTAATCGGTACCATGTAGTGATCAGACTAGATGTTGTAATGATGGTTTTGTTTGGGATGAACGGAATTCTGGTATTGTTAGTTTTATATCATCTACGAAGTAAGTTTAAGCTGCTCTGGTATTGTTCTGCTCTGCTTTGTGTGGGAGAAATGTTGGAAACCGTGTACTTTAGGGCTCCATAGCTGTCTCAACCTTCAACCGTGCATTTTTCCTTGGCTTTTGTCCTTGCATACTTATGCTCTATAGTTGGAACACACCAGTGTACTTTCTGGCTCTGGCATTTTTCCTTCTCTTGTAATTACGGGGTCCATCGGTGTAAAGTTTTAGCGTGTCACATCGGATATACGGATACACATTTGAAGTATTAAACGTAGACTAATAATAAAACAAATTACAGATTCCATCTGTAAACTGCGAGACGAATTTATTAAGCCTAATTAGTACATCATTAGCAAATATTTACTCTAGCAACATATTGTCAAATCATGGAGCAATTAGGCTTAAAAGATTCGTCTCGCAATTTACACGCAATCTGTGTAATTAATTATTTTTTTGTTTATATTTACTACTCTATTTATGTCCAAACATTCGATGTGACATGAAAATTTTTGCCGGGGATATAAACAGGCCCTACGTACTTCTGTTGTATGCAAACTTGTCATGAATCTGTGTGAATTCCTGCAGAACAAGCACATGCGTTTGACATATAATCAGACTATTCATCACTACATACATAGTTACATACGGCGCTTTTGTTTTACGCACAATTACACAGTAGTGCTGTGTGCTGATCTTTTCCAATGCCATTTTTGGTCAACGATCATTTATAAACTTGAGGAGCTATATAGACCTATAATCCTAACTGCCCTAAGTTTTCCCAGCTGATTGATGCCAATGGTCTGCTCTGCTCACTGCACCGGGCAGCCGGGGGCGCTGACCCCGGGCGCCGTGGGGCAACGAGCCAGGGCGCAGTGGTCGTCCACCTGCAGCCCCCACCAGTTGACGCCATTGATGCCCCTCGACTGCAGCACGGCGTACGAGAGGATCCCCATGAAGGCCACGCCGGCGTCCAGCCCGGCGGACAGCACGTAGTTGTGCCGCGCCCACCACCCCTTGTACCGGCGGTACACGACGTAGTTGAAGGCGAGCCCCACGGCGCCCCACATGAGGTAGTTCACCGACCTCGCCGGCGGCATCATCCCCGTGGCGCCGAGGAGCACCGGCATGTTGACGAGCCCGATCCACGCCCTGCCCGGGAACGCCCGCGACAGCGCCCACACCGGCACCGGCGCCAGCGCGCCGGCGAGGAAGAAGTAGTTCATCTTGGCGTACAGGCCGAGGCGGCCGAACATCCGCAGCGGGCCGACCACCCCCCAGATGATGGAGGCGTTGAAGAAGACGTCGTCGCCGGGGCACGTCCACGGGCTCCCCTCCGGCAGCTTCGCCGGGTCGCAGATGTTGCTCACGCTCTCCAGCAGCCACCACGACGTCCCGAAGTACACCGACGACGCCAGCACCGTCCCGACGAGCTGCATGAACAAAACCGGGCAAATTCGCTCACATTCTCCTCCGACGAATCGATGTCCGGATTCAGCCGATGGGGGCTCACCTGGACGATGAACATGGAGCGTGGTGGGATCTTCATGTAGTGGCCCAGCTTGAAATCCTGCAAGAACATGATCGCCTGGGACATGCTGATGTAGCCGTACGTCTTGAAGGCGACGTTGGCGAGCGGCCTCCCCGGGTACAGGTATCCGATGATCAGCTCGGTGATCACGTTCAGCCCAGGTTGCTGTCCAAGAAACCAAAAAGAACCATAAATTGATCACGAATTCACTATTCATGAGTTTAAGAACATCTCTGAGGGAGCTTTTGGTAGCTACTTCTTCTCCTAGAATCAAAGTCTCTTTCAAATAATCCCTTTCTTTTTTGGCCATACTAAAAAATTGTAATTGTAGAATTGAAAAAATAACGCCGCAGTGCCGGCGCTACGTCTCTAGAGCTAGGTCGTTTTTTAGGTCGCTTCTTCTGTTGTGAGAATAGGCTTTAGCTCTTCCTATCTAGTATTCCCGTCCCCTGCTGTTCTTAGTTTTGGGCTGTAAAAATATGTTTTATTCCTCTTAACAAAAAATACGCATCTAGCGTATTCCCGAATAAGTAGCCTTTTTCTTTAAATTTTGATAAATTGTAATTATATAATCTAGAAAATAAACTGAAGGCAACCGAATTCTGATAAATTGTTTAAATTAAAATTCAGAAAATAAAGTAGAAAGCAACCAAATTCTGAAAAATTGTAATTGTAGAATTTAGAATATGAACTAGAAAGTAGGAGCTAAGAAACATAACTTTTTTCATACTCATAAACGGCTTATTTCTTAGAATTTTAAGCTCTCTAAACATATCCTAATTATTACGGAGTTAGTCTGGAATGAATGAGTCACCTGATTGGTGGTGGCGGTGATGATGCCGATGGGGAGGGTGAAGAAGAAGGCGAGGCCGGCGGCGAGGAGGACGCCCCAGTACGGGAGCTGCAGCTGCTGGCCGAAGCCCTCGCAGGTGAACACGGAGAGGCCGAGCACGGCGACGAGCATCACCTGGAACCACCACTGCGGCACCGCGGCGTAGTTGCGCTTCATCAGCCTGGTGTGCACGTCGCCGCCCTGCCCGCTCACCGCCGCCTTGGTCTGCCGCCATATCGACCCGCCGTGGAAGAGCGCGACGTGCGACAGCGTCGCGGCGAGCGTGGCGAAGCTGAGGCCGTAGGTGAAGGCGAAGAAGATGCTCAGGTTGATCTTGCCCGCGGCGTCGTACCCGGCCTGGCTGAACTCGAACGTCGCCGTGTCGAGCACCTGGTTGACGTCGTACCGGCTGCCGTTGGCGGAGAACACGTGGGAGGAGATGATCGGGAACCGCTTGGCGCCGTACGCGTCGGCCCAGTACGCCGCCGGCACGATCACGTAGACGATGAGGAAGAAGCCGGCCATGATGTTGACGATGGCGAACGCCGGCGTCGACAGCGGCGTGCCGAGGAAGCCGGCCACCGTCGCCCAGTCCAGGCCGAACGAGCCGACGCCCAGGCCGTACACGCCGGAGCCGATCTGCTGCGCCGTCACCGACTTCTTCCACACCAGGCACACCACCGAGATGGTGGAGATGGTCGGGAACAGGTAGTTCGGCACAATGTAGTAGGCGAAGCTGGTGATGAGCACGGTCAGGAAGAACTGCAGCCTCGTCGTCCCTCCCTTTGGCCTCTTCTCCTTCTCATGCAGAGCTCTGCATTTTTTTTTGTCATAGCCACCAATCAAAAATCTCAACACACATATTACTACTTCAATTACAGAATTATTATTATTACAGCTTAAGAACAGGTTAGTTTTCAGAGAAATGAGAATGTAATTACAGAATTACAGACCTGAAGAGTGAAACCTGTACCAAGTTTGAAGGCCACCACATGTAAGGTGAGTCCACAAGAAACTTTCTGAAGAGGCCAGCCCAACCATATCCCATCAGCTGCCCACAAACACAGAAAGATTAGAGCCAAAAGAAAAAAGAGATTAAGACAGCAAACCAGCAACACAGAAAGATTATGAACCTGAAAATCAGTACTTCCAACTAGAACATGGAAACAATTTTCAGGACACAATTTGTCAGGTGTCAGTCGAAGTCACATGTATGTACCTGGGTTGTCTGGGTGAGCAGCATGGCAGCAAGAGGATGAATCTCCCGGCGGTAGAAGGCCTTAACAATGGTGATAATGCCGACGGCGTAGACGGAGTTGGATCCGGTGTTGGCGAAGATGGTGATGAGCACATGCTCCTTGAGGTTGAACGGCCCCGGGTTGAGCGAGAACGACCATGCCGTGCCCTTCACCCTGAACACCTTCTTGGGGAGGCAAGCAGCCATCAGCTTGCCCAGCGGCAAGACGACGATCTGCACGGACAGCGACGAGATGTAGAGCGGATTCTGCCGGTAGCCGAAGAACTGGTTGGAGAAGGCCAGCATCGCGCAGGAGATGAGCCCCAGCAGCCATGTCCTGAACGTCAGCGCCGGCAATGCCGGGTCGTCGGTGATCGGCACCGTCAGCCGCACCTCCTCGATCGGGCAGTCGTCTACCTCCTCTTCTGCACCACAAGAACATCGAACACTCTCATATCTTTGAGCATAAAAAGGAATTTCTGAACATCAAACAATGCCATGTTTTCTGAACAGCAAGAAAGAAGAAGAATCTTGGGTGGAGAACTGAACGAACTCACCGGTTTTCTCATCTCTGCTCTCTGGATTTTCGCTACTCCGGTGACCTTCCAGGCTGCTGAGCTCAAGCCGTGGTTGCTCCATTGGTACTGGTCCTCGCCAACCTTTCACCTAAGTTTGGAAGCTTATATATCTCCCAAAAAAAAAGGTCCTTTGCAGAGTGTACTATGGAATTAGAGGCCCAGTTGGTAGCTGGTAGTTCCTGCCAAATGACAAGGAGAAAGGTTAGGGGTTGTTTTCTCACCCTCTTGTGCTGCAAATGAATGTGCTTGGTGCACTTCAGAGTTCTCACCCAACAGAGCTTCTTCTTCTCCAGTTCTTTTGGTCCCCTTTCACTCCCATCTTTTTACATTGCCAATTCACTGTTATGAATGATAGGCCAAGTCATTTATGTGGGGAGATAAAGATTGGCAAATGTAGCTTGTGGGGCATCTGCAAAATTCTTTATTTTTTATCTGTTCTTTTTACATTTCCAGTTCAAAGTTGTGAATGATTGGCCAGTCATTTATGATGGGGAAGATTGGCAAATATAGCTGGTGGGGCATCTGCAAAATCTTTATTTTTTCTCTGTTAAAAGAAGAACTTATTTGTTGATTTATGGTGAAAGTGAATACATAAACAACTAGCTACTTACTGTATGAAATACTTGAAGATTGTGACTGGTTTCCAATGTTTCCATGATTTTCATCTAAATAGTGGTTTCCACCATGTATCTACCCCCACTAAGGTAAACAAGCCTCTGCTGCAAAAGTATGCTCTTAGCAAATCTATCTAGAGCTCACTTTTAGAAGAGTGTGAAAATGAACGAGGATAATATTAACAATATCATGGAGCATTACATTTTCCTTTTCTAAAAAAGGCACCAACTTT